CATTTGTGTAAACAGTTTGGTACTTCTGTGTTATCTTAACTTGCAGAATCTACAGATTTTATATTGATTGTGCCAACATAAGATTTGTGATCACTGAAAAAAGATGGAAATTATTTTAATAAAAACCTCCAGTCAATTCTCACATATATTCATCTCCTACAAGCTAAGAAATACAGCATGAGAAAATATGACGCAACATCATCAGCCTTACAAAACAACCAGTACTTGGAGTAGAAAAGAAAACCCTCCATAAGCTTCCCCCCCATTTCATTTGGAAAAACATGCCACTGTAATAATGCTGTAGAAGGACACAGTCATCATACTTCACCTACAACTCTGCATTCATTATGGGTCAGTAGTCACCACACCACAGAGAAAACTTAATTGCTACTGCAGGCCTGCAGAGCAGAGAAATCACAGTATCTCTGAAATGTAACATAATGGAAAAAGAGCCTGAACTTTGCATCTCATCAAATGAAAAGCACCGCTGGGATAATAAATTGACTTTATAAGCCAAAGAACATACACACCACAAAAGTTGAGTTTCTGGCTACCTATTGTAACTTGCAACTGCAAAGTAACTGAAGTGTCATTTAGAAATCTTTTAAAAATTAATTAAAAAAGACAAGCAAAACTGTCCTTTGCATAAGGCCACAGACAACATAAAACTGAGACTTTCCCCATTTCCCTTAGGTGTATTGAATAGTACCTTTTGATACTGTCCAAAGAGATGGCAAAAAGGTAAGTGTAAAGAGAGGAAAGCACGCGATACAGAAGCAGCTAGCTATGGTCCCATCCCCTGGATTCATACATTTAGGAAAGCAATTATAGTACTGAATTCTGGACTACCAGGAATACACATTCAAAATAGATGGAAAACTTGTTTTTCCACCACAAGATGCTATTCAATTGCATTTTCCCTGCAACTCCACCAGCACAAGCAGCAGGCTAGTCCTTGTCATTTGCAAATTTAGCATCTATTTTTTCATGCCATATGTAGGGAATTCAACCAGGACAGGAAGGCTCTGCTCCCTGTTCACCCTCTACCTCCAGAGAGGGGGAACAAGATGAAGCAAAAGAGCTAAAGGTGAAAAGTAACATTCTGGGCAGACTCCAGATGCAGGTGAATCCCATCCAAGTCATTACATGTTACATACTCATCTATGCTATTGCCTCTACGTTCAGACTTCAATGCAGGGGCTGAGGACAGCTCAGCAGAAGCTCTGCAGGGAAGAGGCTGTAACACACCGAAAGCAGCACGGAGAAGAAATTCCCCTCCCAGTAATAACTGGGCAATCCAAGCAGAAGTTCAGAAGACAGCTCGCGGCTCAGACAGGGAAAGGTCTGGAAGAGCCCCGTGGCCTTGGGAGCACAGCTGCCTGCAGAGGGGAGGAAGGGTACTGAGTAAATAAAGTGTCAGGCAGGAGCCTCCTCTCACCCCCCTTACTCAAATAAATCGTTTAACTTTTCAGAGAGCAGCAAATCTCCTTACCCCTCTGGATTAAAGGCAGACTTAGAGGAATGTTTGTTAACAGACTGCCCTCTCCCTGGGTCATTCCTGATGCACATCAGCTAACCACACTGAGTAAAACCACAATATGGATGCCCTTGATTAAAAAGGAAAAGTTTATTTCTAAATGAAATTGTCTAAAGACAATTAAAAAGCTTGATGGATGTGGGATACAATTCTCATTTTGCTTCTCAGGAAGGTTTGGTGACCATTAGACAAGTGTCTGTAGTGCAAGAGTATCTGTTTAAAACATCTACTGGCCGTTGGCCATCCTATAGTATGAGGTGAATTGAAATCCAAGGTCTCAGGTCTCTCATGCAAGGAGGAAGACAGCAGGACAGTTGTTTCAGAAGACAGTTTTCAGGCTGCTCTCAAACTAAGGAAAGCTGAGTCCTTATGGGATTCCCACTGAAATTTCAGGAAGCAATGATGTTTTATCCCAGCACCAAGTATGTTTTTGAAGATTTCATTTGCCTGCCTACATGCTTCGCATAATGATCACACTATTAAAAGAGGGGAAGCTAATAGTAAAAAATAAAGGCTAATTTACATTTCACTGCATAATACCACAGAGATAAGTAGGTAATTTTAAAAATAAGTTAAAATATATGACACAGATGAGCAATATTGCAAAAATACCCATTACAAAGAAGTTCAGTACAAGAGAAGCAAGAAAAAGGGGAGGAGAAGTGCTTGTTCCAGGGGAACAAGTCAGATGAACAGGCACATGCCACAGATGCTAAAGAGAAGAAACAGTCAGCAGGGTGGGCTCCTTTATCACCCTCTAAGTTAGCAAGAAATCTGTTCTCAGGAATCAAAGGAATGAAAGGTTGCCCCTGAAAAAACCCACATATTTTGTGGACTCACACTGCTTTAGTCCTGCATGGGAACCAGGTATAACCCCAAACTGCCTTCTCCAGCTGAAACAGCAACATGATAACATCAAGGAGCTCTGGTATCATCCATAAACTGATACGTTTTACAACTAAAGAACATGAACATTGCAAACACTTTCCTGGGCCAAAGCCTCTGGGCGATCCGTTCTCAGCGCCAAAATTTCTTCTTAGAGACAGTGAGACAGATGCTGGTGCTGGGCACAGAGCACAAATTTACTGACTCAAACCCCGCTGTGCGAATGGCCCATGACATCTGGGCAGACTCAATAAAAGTGGCACATACTTCCCCTTATATCTCCTGAGCAAAATCCCCGCCTTCTAAGTCTACAATAAACCCCTCCTTACCTTTAAGGAGCAAAAATCTCAGTGGCCAAAGGCATCCCTGCCAACAAAACACTTTTGTTGATTTGCTAAAACATGAAGACATGGGAAAGGCAATAACTCAGGGAAGCTGGACCTTTCAGCACTGCAGGTACGGCACAGATTTTCTGATTCCTTCATTCCAAAGCAGACTAGTAAAACGTGAGTTAAATGGCTGACTTTTGTGTTGGGTCACAAACGCCTAGTGAGGACACCAAACTTCCTCCTAACATTCTTGCAAGTGCTCACTTGTACTGTAACAAAAGGCCAACATTACTCTGACAGTTTCCTTTATAGATGCTAACACAATGCTAAATAATAGCATAAAAATACTTCAGCCCCTGCTTTCCCCCAAAGCAAACAAACTTCAGAATATATATAACAGTAATTTGGCCTTCCTGGTATTTTCCATTTCTTTCCTCTTTATAAATCAAATGTGTTCCAAAAGGAAAATAGATATTTTGAATGTATACCTCCAAGCAAGTCTCTCAATTATTTTCAGAAAGTCTGGGTAATAGCTCTGTAGGAGTAAAAAATAAAAAAGGAAAAATAATTAATATTTGCAAACCCTGGGTTTGTCCTTACTTCATTATTAATTAATGGCTGCCACACTGCTTTGCGTTTGGAGGACAGCGCAATTTTGGTAGCACTACTTTCCTCTTTGCTTCTATGCAGCAAGCATTTTGACATCTTCTGGTTACAACCAGACCCCATTTTGGAAGATTACATAGATGTTTCTCGGAAGAACCTGGTAACATGTTCACTAGTTCTGTCTCTAAGGAGTACCAAGCTCTGCTTCACCAGTGCTAGAACCAGTAACTGCACTAGAAGGGGATGAGACAAATGAAAACAAAACCAACCCCCCCAAAACCAAACCCAAAGATAAAGCAAAAGGCCGACGTTTCTTCACATAGATAACAATAGGAACTGAGAAAGCCAGTGACTTTTTCATGCCTCCCAATTAACCGAACTGCCCAAAGCTTGGAAGAGTAACAAGTATATGAAAACAATCCTGGTGTGTTCTTCTCTTTTCATGATCACCATGGCCATTCATCTCCAAACACTCCCTCACAGACGGTTTCATCCACAGGGTCGACCTGGGCATTTCCTTTCTGGCACACACATTTTTGTTCCCCAACCGTCTCAAGCAAAGCTTGTGGGCAGCAGTATGTGCATACCTGGGAGCCAGAGAACCTCCCTTCCACTTTGTCACAACTTGCAATTACAGTTACTTGCTGAAAGCCACAGCACCTCACATAAGACAAAAATAGCAGCACTTACTTGCTTTGGTAAAGAATTGCTTTTTAAGGGATCATTATAGTAGCAGAACAATTAGAGCTTACTTTTAAACATTTATACTTATAGTTCCTGGGGAATTTGCTCAGTAGTCTGTTCAATTCTTTAATAATCTGAGGAGAACAATCCAATTTAAAATTCTTCAAATCTCTCTTCCCATTTCAATGTCCCAAATGATGTAACAACCTCTTAAATAAAGTTAGTGATTGCTCATTAACAATACAAAGCCTTCACCGTAGTTTCTGCAGTAGCTTTGTTGGGAATTCATGTATGCCTGAAAAGACTGCACTTTGTTTTGTACCTTTGGAAGAGCTAGTGCAATTTCTGTAACCTACGAGTTGGTAGAGCAACATGGATGGCCAGATCTGCTCAAGACTTAGACATTGGCAGAGAGAAACCAAATACTGATTCCTGCTCTCAATATCAAAGAAAACAACGTGTCTACTGATACAGGAATCAAGTGCAAGGACATGCCTTGCCTCCGCAGCTACTCTGCTGCCAGCAGGAAGAGGATCTGCATACAAACAAACACTGCCCTTTGCCTGGCTGGTATTTAAGGCACTGCATGCAATCATTTAGTTTGATTGCACTCAAGGCTACAACCCGGTCCCGACCAGACATCCTCTAAAGTAAACGGTATGACATGAGTGAGTCAGGGCAACAAACCTCTGGGAAAGCCCAGTTTGGGGGTCAGCCTATGGATTTTTCTTTCAGTTTGGAGCTCGCGTTTCTCAAGTGTCTCCCCAAACTGGAGAGCACAAGCACTCAGCCACCATGAGCGAGCACAACGGCTTCCACCAGGTCACCAGGAAAGTGCCCCAAACCCCACACGTTCCACCGCTTCTGGGCGGCAGGAAACGGTTACACACGCACAAACCAAGCCGGGTTTCCTATCAATGGCCTTTTTCATTCCCACGTCACGAACCGGCGGGGTTCACCCCATCCTTGGCCCCAGCGACCCGAAGCCGTCACTGCGGGTGGAGGAGCTCCGGTGCTGCCCGTTTGCCATCCTTCGCCGGTCGGGTACCCGCGGGGATTCGCAAGGGCAGTTGGCCGTTTGCATCCTCGGCCTCCCAGAGACGAGATACCCAGGTGCAGAGCTACGGCCGGGGTCGGGCACATGGGGCCGCAGACACCGCTTGCCCCGT